GGTTTGTGCCACGAACCGGTACTAATGCCTCAAACTCTATTAGTACCGGTTGGTGGCTCGAACCGGGACTAAAGGTCTAACCTTTAGTACCGGTTGGTGACACAAACCGGTACTAATGGGCATTGCACCCTTTAGTCCCGGTTCGTGGCACCAACCGAGACTAAAGGTCCTATTTGAACCGGGACTAATGCTTGTACGATGTCTTAGCCGCTCAAACCGGGACTAATGCTCACATTAGTCCCGGTTCGTAATGCAACCAGGATTAATGCTCTTTTCTGGCCGAACCGAAGCCCTGTTTTCTACTAGTGCTCATTGGCAATTAAGCTGCCCTTCTTACAACATCTGTTTGATTGCCAAGGGGTTGCAATATTTGATGTAACATGTACATGAGCTTGGTTTGAAATAAATTTGGCGCCTTGTGCGCCTCTCCTTTCTTAAAAAAAAACACTGTGAGAGTAGAATAGGAATTGCGCAAGAAGCCTATAAACCTATGGGTGTCCGACGGTCACTCATTGAAGCCTACACGGGGTGCAAAGTAAGGTCACATGTCACATGTAGCATATGCATGATTGGTCGACCTAAAGTGTTTTTGTCTGAAACAACAAGGGTATGTGGGATACATTTTCGGTCTAAAGGTAATTCGGTGTGCTAGAATTTCCAAATTGAGGAGTTGATCTAAACTAATTAGTAACCAGTTTAATCTTTGATCAATCAGGTATCGGCCCCCAGGAAGGATATATGGCATGCCATGGTGGTGGTAGATGGATCAATTATCTAGTGACTTTATCTAGAAGCTCTGATAACATGCAGAAGATTTAGAAAACCTAACTACTGTGTTTCGCCTATTGGTCTGACCCTCGTAGTTATAGCTTTCTCTCTAGTGTAGGGCGTATTGGTAAGCGCTTTGTCTCTAGTCCTTTTCTTTTGGTTGATGTAGGGCTGGCATGTTCATGGGTTTGCTGATTCAAAGCCGGTCTCACTCCAAAAAATTATAATGTTCAAGCTGAACATAACACAAATGTTCTCCACAAGAACCCAACACATATAACTTTAATAACCTTATCCAAGCTTTGGATCTGAATACTTCCTTGCACAATGGGTCAAAAAGGGTCTAACCTACTTTTCATACGTTTGTGACAGTTGTATCACGAACAAATAAACATTACACTGGGGAACTCTTTGCGAGACAGTTAACAGAAGCATCACGATAATATTAGACCTAATGTTTCATGTCCAGACATTTCTCCAGCACAATCAACAAGCAGCAATAAATAGAGCACATATTGCAATGAATTTCTAACAGAACATATTTCGCTATCATCAACCAATTAAGGAGCTCCAGTCCCAAAAATCATCAGGAATTATAACCTTTATAACGTTTTTAAAATCCATACGATGCATTAGTATGATCAGATAGAGTTCAACAAGTTGTTTCCAAACATAAACAAGATGACAGAAAGGAACAAATGTCCCTTATTGATAATAATAGAAAATGAGACCAAAGTTATAGGCAAAGCTCATACAAAAGTTCTAGGATAGAACTTCCACCAGAGAAGAAAAGCACTTCTTTCGCAGCAGAAATAGAAGCACCACGCTGCCTCTCACTCTTCAGGATGCAATTACCAGCACACCTTCTGAAGCTTTTCTTCACACACAGGCCAGGCAATTCTGTTTCTTCAAATATGGAAGGAAAGCATGAAAACAATGATGAGCACTTTAGCATGGCATAATTAAAAGCAAAAGAGTTTACAGTGCTGAAACCTGAAAGATAACAAGTAGTTATAATAACAATGGAGAACTATTATCATGTGCCATTCTAATTGAAAACAAAGTCATTGTTTAAAAAATAAAATAAAATACCTACATACAGTGTGTATTTCATTAGAAATAAATAGCTAGTCACAGTACAACATGTTGACAAGGCAAGCAATAGCAATTTTCTCTCTAACATGTTGATAATAAACTTGTGTAAGAGCAAAATCTTCATCATGAAATAGGAAAGAAAAACATGCACAGGCTCAAGGATGCTGACTGTAAAATAGGATATCAGGAAACAAAATTCACATAGGTAACGACAAGCTTCAGGGTACAGACAAAACATTCATTTAAGTATGCAGCAACATTTCAGTAACACTAGACGCTCTCTTTCAGTATATATAGCTTGATGTTCGTAGTCAAAAGGATTCATGATTTATGATAACATGATGCAACTAAGCAGAAATGCAATGACTCTAAGCCTGCTAAATCAGAGCAGTGTAGCAAGAAGCAAAACAGAGAAAAAAGGGGCACTACTAAATTACGTAAATCAAACTATGAAGCATCAAACAAGTTATGTGATAAATATGAAGGAAATGCATAGCTAGCTAGGCAGGGTGCAAGAGAACTATGTATACCATTTCATACTGTCCTTGACGACAATGATGGTGGGAAGTTGGTGTATATGGGCCCACATGAGACATTTCTTTTCTCACACACCCTCTCAAGCTTAAATGTGTTGACGACTAGTGAGAAACATTCAGATTTCTCATAAAGCCTCTCAACCTGAAATGTCATGAAGTCGATCCTCATATCTGACCCTAGTACGAGCAAGTACCTCTCAGTTACACGTATGATAGTATGGTCACCCTCAGCCAATGGGATTGTCTTCTCTATCTGCCACTCATTCATATCGGTGTTCTTCTGCCTAACAATATACTGTAGTGTGCCATCATTCGAATGAGTAATCAGTCCAAGCCTGCCTTCCCCTGCCTCCACAATACCAAAGCCTCCGCCCCTCCATCTTCTTCCGGCTGGCAAATCAGCAACAGAAAACTCCATCCTCAAGGTGTCAAGAACCAGCATAACTTCCCTCGGATAATTCTTCAGGCCGAATTCCGGCCCACGCATCTTCCAGTACAAACATCTATAGGCTTGACCACACGCTTGGAACAAACGGGATTCCAAATATACGGGCTTCACACAACCCAACAAATTGCTCCAATCCTCTGATGCAATGGCTTGCCACTGTCCACTGGTTGAAGAATAAAGGAATGCCATCGGCTTAGTCCTGCACTGTGCCATCCAGACTACGCGGAATGACGTCTCTTCATCTTCCGGTTCCACTTCGCCTTCCTTGATGGCGGGAACGAGGACGACCTCGCAGCGGCGCTTCGGAGAGTAATTCAGATCAAGTGAGTCCCTCACCAACACGGTTAGGTCGTCAGGGATCGGGGGGAGCAGGCGGTATCCCCGATGCAACGGGTCGCACACCGCAAGCTCCGGGAAGACGACTGAGCCCTTCTCGCGTTCGGGACCGCGGTCGAGCAGGACGCGGCCGTCGCGGATGTCCTGGATGTTCCAGCAGCCGGCTTTCCCCGTGAAGCTGCAACGGTTGGGGCGAGGAAGGAAGGAGAAGGAGAAGTCGGCGGCACTAACGACGGCGTCGGCGATGGGCGCACAAGTGTGAGGCGGGAGCGCAGGGCGAAAGCCAGAATAGTCCACGAAGCCGATGAAGGACGGGGAGTGTGTTTTGCGGAAGCGACGGAGGAAGGCGCGGTCGGTGAGGAGCTGGCGGGCGGTGTCGAGTTGGTGCAAGGCGACGCAGGCGCGGACGAGGTCGGCTGGGGTGGGCAGCCGGAGGAAGATCTCTTCCAGGAGGACGGCCAGACGCTCGTCCGTGATTGAAGTGCACGGCGCGGCCATCTCCCGGCGGTCGGCGTACGGTGGTTTGCACAAGGGTGTAGGGTTTGCACAAGCGGCGGATATGTTGGACAAGGCGATCTATCACTTGGCCTCTCGCATTCCATCTTTCCTCGTTTATATAGAGACAGAAATGCCAAAGGTTGCATCGAGGTGTGAACGCAACTCAGAATCAGCACGCTGACTTCAACACAAACGCGCGCATGCCTCCGCCGAACCTCTCGCCTTCCTTCTCACTAGCATGCAGCCGCCCTAGCTAGCCTTCTCCTCTTCCCACCACGAGGAGACTAATCATGGCCGCTTTACATGGGTACCACTTTTTTTTTTGCGGGTGAAATAGCAACGTATTAATCAATCACAAAGTCCTTACAATCATTGGATGTTATTTCCACAACTTCAACTGGACCAGCTCCTAACCAAGTCATGGTCCTACCTTGGGTTCTAGCAAAACTAGCTAAGCTATCACTAGCTTTATTTTGGGATCTAAATACTCAAAAGGTGCTTGATCTCTCTCACAATTGAAGAGTAAACCGAACGATCGGTCCCCGGACTCGTAATGAGAGTGACTGCTTCGAGAGAATCCAGCTCCAATGCTATCGACACATCACATCTCTGTATTGCCAGGGACAAGCCTTCCATACACGCGCACAGCTCCGCCTCTAGGGGATCCCTGCAGGAATACAAAACCCTGCAAGCCGAGAAATTGATGCCACCCAAATGGTCACGCAGGATCATCCCCGCCCCAGCTTCACCGGATGCTACAAAAGAGCCATCAGTGTTTAACTTGCACCACCCTAGGTCTGGTTTGGTCCATCTTCGTTCCTGAACTGCAGCAGCACTTTCCCTCTTCTTTGGTATTAGCCACTCAACATATGACTTCCCTTTGGCTGGATCAGCTCTTGGGATCTGCTTCAAACCAATTAAAGATTCCAAATAGCTTTGCAGAAAACGAACCGAAGCTACCATCGGCGGTGCAGGCTTCGCATGGGTGAGCTCATTCCGAACAAACCAACTTCTCCAAAAGATCATTAATACCATTGTGCGTTCGAGTTCGGTAAGAGGACTCAGGACATGTAACAGCCATTCCTTACCATTGTTCAGTATAGATGTAATGTCAGGCAGCCTCCATACCTTGGACATAGCCACAAACAGATCCCGTCCGAACTGCCAGCGAACGAACGGATGAAAATTATCCTCCTCTTCTGTTCCACACACCGGGCATATACTCGTAGTTTCCAACCCAATACGATGTTTCTTCTGCCAAGTAGGGAGTGCATCAATTGCCAAACGCCAAGCGAAGTGCTTAACCGATGGAGGAGCATCACACTTCCAGATAAAATCCCAGCAAGCACGACGTCCCGAAGGCGAAGCACTAGACGAAGACATGGTACCTCGATGGTCCTCGTCAAAAGCCAACTCATATGCTGATTTGACCGAAAAACTTCCATGCCGACCCGGACCCCATGCAATGACATCTCCCGCCATCCTTGGTGAGGCGCGAATCTTTAAAATTTCAATCACATCGGCAGTCACAAAAAAGTCCCGAAGGAGCTCAACATTCCAAGATCCATTAGCATTCAAAAAACCAGAGACAAAACGGATGCGGCAACGCCCTTGCGGAGAGATTGGTTTGTAAGAGAAAGGTCTCGGAATCCAATTATCTCGCCAAACCCGAATGCTTGCTCCGTCACCAACTCTCCACAGCAGCCCTTTCTTCAATAAATCCAGTCCATGACATATAGCTTGCCATGAAGATGAACCGTTTCCTGAAAAAACTGTATCTTCCAGCTTACCCTCCGGGTAATATCGATCTTTTAGAACCCTAGCACAAAGGCTGTCCGGTTTGGTAATTAACCTCCACGCATGCCTAGCCAGTAGGGCCTGATTAAACAGCCTCAAGTCACGGAAGCCAATACCCCTCCGGTCCTTGGGTTGCATGAGATGGTCCCAATTCTTCCAATGAACTTTCCTCTTGCCCCTTGCCGACCCCCAATAAAAATTCCGCACCATGCGCGTAAGATCGTCACAAACCGAAAAGGGTAGCTTGAAGACGCCCATAATGTATGTAGGGAGGGCCTGAGCAACTGACTTAATCAACAATTCTCTTCCCGGTTGCGCCAAAAGGCCATCTCCCCATTGTAGCAATCGCTTGGTTAACCGAGTCTGCAAATTCTGAAAACGGCCTTTAGACATCCGACCCTCCGGAGTCGGCAGGCCAAGGTACTTTTCCTCAAAGTGCAAGTTAGTGATTTGAAGCACTGCCCGTACTTCCTCCTACCTCGCAACGGGGCAAGCATCCCCAAGAAGAATGGAACACTTCTCGGGGTTTAAACTCTGGCCTGTCGCCCTCCCATATATGTCCAGCACAGCTTTAATCTGTCTCGCTTGTTCTCCTGATGCCTCAAAGAACAACAACGTATCGTCAGCAAACAATAAATGCGACACACCCGGTCCTCGTCTTGACACTTTAACCGGAGTGATTTCGCCCGCTTCCACTTTGTTTCTCAATAAAGCAGATAGCCCATCAGCCACAAGCAAGAAAAGGAACGGGGATAACGGATCTCCTTGCCGAAGCCCACGCGTCGGTGCAAACGAATCCAAGAGGGTTCCATTTAGTTTGACAGAGTATCTCACCGACGTGACAGAAGACATTATCCAGTCAACCCATCACTGAGAGAATCCCAACTTTTGCATCATTTTCCTCAAGAAGACCCAATCAACTCTATCATAAGCTTTTGACAAGTCCAATTTGTACGCACAAAAACTTCTTGTGGGATCCTTTTCCTGCTTAATGTGGTGGATACATTCAAACGCCACAAGCGCGTTGTCAGTGATCATCCTACCAGGAATGAATGCACTCTGTTCAGGAGATATGAGATCATCCAACAAAGGCCTCATCCTATTCACGAGGCACTTGGAAATCACCTTATAAATAACATTACACAGACTAATAGGCCTGTAGTCTGTGATTCTCACCGGGTTGGGGATCTTGGGAATAAGAACTATCGAGGTTGAATTCACCCCCTCCGGCATGATTCCAGTACTGAAAAAATCCCTCACCGCTGCCAGCACACCCTCCTTGAGAGTACCCCAATTCCGCTGAAAGAATCTCGCCGGAAAGCCATCCGGACCCGGAGATTTTAGTGGCCCGATCTGAAACAAAGCATCTGAAATCTCTTTCTCTGTAAACGGCGCACACAACTTGGCATTGTCCTCTTCGGTTACCACCTGGTTAATTAAGTCCAAAATAGGCGCAACATTAAGCGTCGGGTCAGCTGTAAAAATATCATGGAAATACATATTGGCTAATTCCCCCATGCCAACAAGGTCGGAATGAATTACACCGACGCTGTCCGTTAGTTCATGGATCTTGTTCTTCCTCGCCCTCCAAACTGCCTTACTATGAAAATATTTAGTGTTTCTATCCCCTTCCTTCAACCACGTGATTCACGATCGTTGCAACCAAAGCATCTCCTCTTGATACAGAAGCTCATTCATCTTATCCGTCACCCGTACAATATCCTGGCGATCAGCATTCATGTTCATCAACTCCTCTAACTGGGTCCGTGATTTGGCGAGCTCTCGAGTAACATTACCAAATTTTTTGCTCCAAAGTCGAAGGGCTGTCATTGTTTTCGTAAGCGCGTCTATCAGTTGTGCCATATTGTACACGCCTCCTGCTGCTTCCCAAGCCTCCTTGATCACCTCCGGTAAAGATCCTCTCTCTCCCAGAACAGCTCATATCTCCTATGCTTCCCTCCATTCGGCCCCCGATCGACCGACCCCTTTAGAACAAGTGCCACATGATCTGAGCAAGGCGAGGGCACATGTAAAACCGAAGCATATGCAAACAAATTTCTCCATGCGTTAGTCGCCACTACCCTATCGAGTCTCACCTTCACATTGCCACCTCCTCCCCTCTTATTATCATATGTAAAGGGAACCCCAACAAAGCCTAGGTCAACCAAGCCACAGATCTCCAAAGTATCACGGAAGGCGACCATTTGTGGCTCTCCCCGTGGTGTTACTGAAAGATGCTCAAAGCCCCACATGGCTTCATTGAAATCACCCACAACAAGCCACGGTAGATCATTCACAACTTTTAGATGCTCGGGTTTAGCCCACATAAGATGCCTGTTTTCAACTCGTGGTTCACCATATACACATGTAATCCTCCATTGGGTTGCCCCTTCCTGGACACGAACTAGTGCATCAATAAAATGTTCATCTTTGTCCACAATTTCCACTTCGTAACTCTCATGCCAATACAACGCAAGACCACCACTCATAACATTACTATCAACTCCTGCATAACCCTTCAATCCAATCCTCCCTCGCACCTTCTTCATTTTATCAACTCTCTATCTTGTTTCACACAAAAACACCATACTAGGGGAATGCGACTGACAGATAGTCGCCAGCTCACGAACTGTCCGGGGATTCCCCCCTCCCCGGCAGTTCCAACTAAGGATATTCATTGGGCCCGGCGGTCCTCCTCGAAGGAGGCCGCCTCTTCTGTCATATCAACATCCTCCCTCTCCTCACCTTGCTTTCTTCTTTTCACAACTGGTAACTTGCCAGGTGTAGACGATGGGGCCGGCACCACATTTGCGACCCACTACCGCTCTCCAACATGAGAACCGTGTTTGGTACTTTGCCAGCAAGGTTCGGCACTGGTTGACCACGAACCAACACGACTCCATCTGCCCCCATAAGCCTTTTGCGAGCAGTCCTGGGATCGTCCTCACCAAGATTATGTGCTCTTGGAACCGCAAGCACCCCACCACTCGAATTCTGTCCAACAGCATCTACTCCCCCAGCTGGTTTGCTTTCTGCACCCCCCTTCCCCTGGATTTCCTACTCCTCTACCTCCTCCTCTACCAGCCCGTCTCCCTCTTCCCCCCGCCAAAACTTGCAGACGCTCCTCCTCTACCACGCCCTACACCACCTCCTGCCATAGCCGGCTCACTACTCCAATGCAACCAGTCCCCCCAATCACACTC